TTAAAGTAGAGACACTACATACTGATATACACCTGAACATCAGCAGGAGAGGACTCTTTAAAGTAGAGACACTACATACTGATATACACCTGAACATCAGCAGGAGAGGACTCTTTAAAGTAGAGACACTACATACTGATATACACCTGAACATCAGCAGGAGAGGACTCTTTAAAGTAGAGACACTACATACTGATATACACCTGAACATCAGCAGGAGAGGACTCTTTAAAGTAGAGACACTACATACTGATATACACCTGAACATCAGCAGGAGAGGACTCTTTAAAGTAGAGACACTACATACTGATATACACCTGAACATCAGCAGGAGAGGACTCTTTAAAGTAGAGACACTACATACTGATATACACCTGAACATCAGCAGGAGAGGACTCTTTAAAGTAGAGACACTACATACTGATATACACCTGAACATCAGCAGGAGAGGACTCTTTAAAGTAGAGACACTACATACTGATATACACCTGAACATCAGCAGGAGAGGACTCTTTAAAGTAGAGACACTACATACTGATATACACCTGAACATCAGCAGGAGAGGACTCTTAAAGTAGAGACACTACATACTGATATACACCTGAACATCAGCAGGAGAGGACTCTTTAAAGTAGAGACACTACATACTGATATACACCTGAACATCAGCAGGAGAGGACTCTTTAAAGTAGAGACACTACATACTGATATACACCTGAACATCAGCAGGAGAGGACTCTTTAAAGTAGAGACACTACATACTGATATACACCTGAACATCAGCAGGAGAGGACTCTTTAAAGTAGAGACACTACATACTGATATACACCTGAACATCAGCAGGAGAGGACTCTTTAAAGTAGAGACACTACATACTGATATACACCTGAACATCAGCAGGAGAGGACTCTTTAAAGTAGAGACACTACATACTGATATACACCTGAACATCAGCAGGAGAGGACTCTTTAAAGTAGAGACACTACATACTGATATACACCTGAACATCAGCAGGAGAGGACTCTTTAAAGTAGAGACACTACATACTGATATACACCTGAACATCAGCAGGAGAGGACTCTTTAAAGTAGAGACACTACATACTGATATACACCTGAACATCAGCAGGAGAGGACTCTTTAAAGTAGAGACACTACATACTGATATACACCTGAACATCAGCAGGAGAGGACTCTTTAAAGTAGAGACACTACATACTGATATACACCTGAACATCAGCAGGAGAGGACTCTTTAAAGTAGAGACACTACATACTGATATACACCTGAACATCAGCAGGAGAGGACTCTTTAAAGTAGAGACACTACATACTGATATACACCTGAACATCAGCAGGAGAGGACTCTTTAAAGTAGAGACACTACATACTGATATACACCTGAACATCAGCAGGAGAGGACTCTTTAAAGTAGAGACACTACATACTGATATACACCTGAACATCAGCAGGAGAGGACTCTTTAAAGTAGAGACACTACATACTGATATACACCTGAACATCAGCAGGAGAGGACTCTTTAAAGTAGAGACACTACATACTGATATACACCTGAACATCAGCAGGAGAGGACTCTTTAAAGTAGAGACACTACATACTGATATACACCTGAACACCAGCAGGAGAGGACTCTTTAAAGTAGAGGCACTACATACTGATATACACCTGAACATCAGCAGGAGAGGACTCTTTAAAGTAGAGACACTACATACTGATATACACCTGAACACTCAGCAGGAGAGGACTCTTTAAGTAGAGACACTACATACTGATATACACCTGAACATCAGCAGGAGAGGACTCTTTAAAGTAGAGACACTACATACTGATATACACCTGAACATCAGCAGGAGAGGACTCTTTAAAGTAGAGACACTACATACTGATATACACCTGAACATCAGCAGGAGAGGACTCTTTAAATAGAGGACACTACATGCTGATATACACCTGAACATCAGCAGGAGAGGACTCTTTAAAGTAGAGACACTACATACTGATATACACCTGAACATCAGCAGGAGAGGACTCTTTAAAGTAGAGACCACTACATACTGATATACACCTGAACATCAGCAGGAGAGGACTCTTTAAAGTAGAGACACTACATACTGATATACACCTGAACATCAGCAGGAGAGGACTCTTTAAAGTAGAGACACTACATACTGATATTACACCTGAACATCAGCAGGAGAGGACTCTTTAAAGTAGAGACACTACATACTGATATACACCTGAACATCAGCAGGAGAGGACTCTTTAAAGTAGAGACACTACATACTGATATACACCTGAACATCAGCAGGAGAGGACTCTTTAAAGTAGAGACACTACATACTGATATACACCTGAACATCAGCAGGAGAGGACTCTTTAAAGTAGAGACACTACATACTGATATACACCTGAACATCAGCAGGAGAGGACTCTTTAAAGTAGAGACACTACATTACTGATATACACCTGAACATCAGCAGGAGAGGACTCTTTAAAGTAGAGACACTACATACTGATATACACCTGAACATCAGCAGGAGAGGACTCTTTAAAGTAGAGACACTACATACTGATATACACCTGAACATCAGCAGGAGAGGACTCTTTAAAGTAGAGACACTACATACTGATATACACCTGAACATCAGCAGGAGAGGACTCTTTAAAGTAGAGACACTACATACTGATATACACCTGAACATCAGCAGGAGAGGACTCTTTAAAGTAGAGACACTAATACTGATATACACCTGAACATCAGCAGGAGAGGACTCTTTAAAGTAGAGACACTACATACTGATATACACCTGAACATCAGCAGGAGAGGACTCTTTAAAGTAGAGACACTACATACTGATATACACCTGAACATCAGCAGGAGAGGACTCTTTAAAGTAGAGACACTACATACTGATATACACCTGAACATCAGCAGGAGAGGACTCTTTAAAGTAGAGACACTACATACTGATATACACCTGAACATCAGCAGGAGAGGACTCTTTTAAAGTAGAGACACTACATACTGATATACACCTGAACATCAGCAGGAGAGGACTCTTTAAAGTAGAGACACTACATACTGATATACACCTGAACATCAGCAGGAGAGGGACTCTTTAAAGTAGAGACACTACATACTGATATACACCTGAACATCAGCAGGAGAGGACTCTTTAAAGTAGAGACACTAGATACTGATATACACCTGAACATCAGCAGGAGAGGACTCTTTAAAGTAGAGACACTACATACTGATATACACCTGAACATCAGCAGGAGAGGACTCTTTAAAGTAGAGACACTACATACTGATATACACCTGAACATCAGCAGGAGAGGGACTCTTTAAAGTAGAACACTACATACTGATATACACCTGAACATCAGCAGGAGAGGAACTCTTTAAAGTAGAGACACCTACATACTGATATACACCTGAACATCAGCAGGAGAGGACTCTTTAAAGTAGAGACACTACATACTGATATACACCTGAACATCAGCAGGAGAGGACTCTTTAAAGTAGAGACACTACATACTGATATACACCTGAACATCAGCAGGAGGAGAGGACTCTTTAAAGTAGAGACACTACATACTGATATACACCTGAACATCAGCAGGAGAGGACTCTTTAAAGTAGAGACATACATACTGATATACACCTGAACATCAGCAGGAGAGGCCTCTTTAAGTAGAGACACTACATACTGATATACACCTGAACATCAGCAGGAGAGAGGACCTCTTTAAAGTAGAGACACTACATACTGATATACACCTGAACATCAGCAGGAGAGGACTCTTTTAAAGGTAGAGACACTACATACTGATATACACCTGAACATCAGCAGGAGAGGACTCTTTAAAGTAGAAGACACTACATACTGATATACACCTGAACATCAGCAGGAGAGGACTCTTTAAGTAGAGACACTACCATACTGATATACACCTGAACATCAGCAGGAGAGGACTCTTTAAAGTAGAGACACTACATACTGATATACACCTGAACATCAGCAGGAGAGGACTCTTTAAAGTAGAGACACTACATACTGATATACACCTGAACATCAGCAGGAGAGGACTCTTTAAAGTAGGACACTACATACTGATATACACCTGAACATCAGCAGGAGAGGACTCTTTTAAAGTAGAGACACTACATACTGATATACACCTGAACATCAGCAGGAGAGGACTCTTTAAAGTAGAGGCACTACATACTGATATACACCTGAACATCAGCAGGAGAGGACTCTTTAAAGTAGAGACACTACATACTGATATACACCTGAACATCAGCAGGAGAGGACTCTTTAAAGTAGAGACACTACACACTGATATACACCTGAACATCAGCAGGAGAGGACTCTTTAAAGTAGAGACACTACATACTAGGGCTGAACGATATACCGTGTCATGGCGATAACCACACCGCAGGGACGTGCACAACCCACTGCGCCACACACACCGGGAACACATGTATAAAAGACATCAAAAAGTGCATTTTGATTGATAGGTCCCCTTTAAGATCTGCAATAATGCATCACCTCACTGCGGTTGCACCTAATTTAAAAAAAGTATATGTTCATTCAACTGATCAACGTTTACCCTGTTGTTGTGATATCTTATTTTAACAGTTACTTATGTCATTGTATTTTGAATTGTGTTATCCTTGTGTGAACTCTTACACTGTTGCTGCTTGAACAACTGCATTTCCCTAATGAAGGTCTATCTTATCTAAGTCCCAATATTTACTCTCTGTCCTCTAAAGATAACATCAAGCGGTTTAACCACCGCTTGATAGGGCAAGCTAGTCTGTAAATGAAATGATGAATCAGTTATGATAATCTCTCCTATACTACTGGATGCAGCTGGATACTCTTTAAAGTACTTCTACTTTAACCAGAGTATCTTTAAACACGAGTATGTGTACTTCTACTCGAGTAAAGGATGTGTGTACTCTGCTTACCAGATATCGATCTTCAGCCCGTTGGACACCAGGAACTGGATGGTGTCCACGTGTCCGCACAGATGCAAAGCGGTGTTCCCTTGATAGTCGGTGGCTAGCAGATCGGCTCCGAACTTGTGCAGCAGGCGGCAGATGTCCACGTTGCCCCGGGCGGCGGCGAGGTGCAGCCCGGTGCGGCCCCGGTTGTCCCGGATGTTGGGGTCGCAGCCCGTCTCCAGGAGCCTCTTGGCGAACGGCAGGTCTCCATCGATGCAGGCCTGCAGCAGCGGCACGTTGGTCTGCGACGAGTCGTTGATGAAGACATAGGACATGTCCGAGTGGGTGTCAGAAAATTCCAGCGTACCTGCATCGAAGGAAAAAGGAGAACAGGAGATATTGTTAGAGCCAGTGTTTTGTTTTTTAAAAGAAAGGCCACTTAATCGTGACGTCTGTAGTCAACCAGAGTATAAAAGACTACAATTCCCACGGCGCCTCCTCTAAACCTCAGGAGAAATCACTAAAACTGTAAGAAACTTTACCAAATCCAGCTTTTAAAACACAAAGACATTTTTATTAAACCCCTTCTCCTGCACTATTTGATCCGTTTTATTTGTTTTATCTCCTATAGCCTATATATTGTTAGAGCCGGTATTTTAAACATATATATTATATTAAGGAGTATTTCTCTGTAAAGTCGTAGCTTCTCTTCTCCTGAGCATAATACGTGACATTCAAACATTCAAAAGCTTTATTGACAGATGCTCAGCAGCTACAGTGTGGATATGGCGATGAAAATCTCCTTCAACAATGCAACATAAATATATATAAGACATACAACAATACAGATAATGAAAAAATAAACTAAATAAAATAGTGCAGGAGGATGTAGCCAAGTGACCAATGTGCAGTTACATGCAGGAGAAGTAAATACGAACTCAAACATAAAGTAAAATGTAGAGGAATAAAATACTGCTTATGTGAAAAACAGATGGATGCGTAAGGATATGAAGGCACTATCAACCATAGCTACCGTAAATACCCGGCATGCAACACTATAACATGTCTTTTTAATTACAAAACCATCTCAAGAAACTACTTTTAGCAACTGTCCGTGAAGCTAATACATCTTTAAAATAGAAAAGCTAGCCAACTGTAGCATCAACTAGCTGACAGTGATGAAAATGGCAGTAACATTTAACCACTGTTACACATTTAACTAAGCAATATTTGTCTTTATTCACGCTGAAACATTTGATATTAAACAGAAATAAAACGTTAGTAGGTGATGCTAGTTATTAGGGAGCTAGCGGAGCTAATGCTAGCTTCAAAGCTAACGATTTTATACACATCTGAAACAGATTAACGTGTGATTGAACGATTATAGAAACATACGCAAGAGGTGAACACGTATGTTATACATTGTTTGGGCTGTCGGATGTGAGACTCACCTGTTGATAAGTTCCCAATTCGCAGAAAAATACACTCCGCTCCTCTTCGAGCTAACGTTAGCAGCCGTGTTGTTGTTATGCTGGGATTCCTCTGTTGCTAAGGAAGGGCTCTGTCGCCCCCTGCTGTCAGGGAGGTGTCATTACAGTTGGATTTTAATACACGCATTAAAGTTTTTTGGTCTAAATCAATTAAAAAGTTTATTTTTTATACAGTTTTCTAGGAGTTCAGGTGTTAACATACTTCAATATTCATGTTTGCTTCACCTACTACTTTTTAAATTCACTGTAGACCATGACCACTATTTTTATTATATATTTTGCTTCCACTACCTGGCTTTTAACTTGTATGTTTTTTTATTAATTATATATATGTTCTATGTATATTAAATTGTTTTTATATCTGAATCATGCACGGCCTGGGATTGTTTGTAGAGCATATATGATAAATGAAAGATGTGAGAAACAGCGAATAAAGAAAATAATAATAATTTCAAAAAGACAATAGGAAATATATATTATATAATTCTATCATTTAGTGTGCACAAATATTTTTCAATAGTGTTTTATTTGTCAGATAGTTTACATATTTTTATATTCATAGTCACCTATGATCATCTTTAATTTCAGTTTGATCTGCTATTTTGAGACGTTTATATTGTATAATTGTGTATTTTCTACTCGTTTATGTGCAATACTAGGGATAAGTTAAGTTAGGGTTCCTCTTAGTTGTACAAGGCAATACGTGTATATGTTTCAAACAAGGTGGAAATGTTTTTAATTTGGTTTTCCAAGCACAAAGCAAAGACCTGTCATCTTCTCAGTGGAGTTCACGTAAAAAGACCTGAAATACCTCGTTGTTTCACGAACAAAACCATCTTCAATGAATATTCTCAGTTAGTTTAGAGACTTTATTTAAGTGTGTGAGCACAGAAATACACATTACAGTAACAGACATGTCATTACCATGTTATCGTGATCGATCCTCTTTGAGGAAAACTGCATTTCTTCTCTGTCACTCCATAAACCACGTGTGTTTGGAAAATGGGGGTAAAGACCAAAACAGACGGTTGTTCGGGGGTCTGTTAAATCATCAGTGGCGAATATATTTTCCATATAAAAACACAATCCGAAAGGCATTTTGTTTTGTTTCCTCATAATATTTAATGTACACATCATTATCTTCCCATTCCCTCCCAACTCAGTAAATACAAACCAGGGGATAGTATCATGATTTAGGTAAAATAATTACAATCTAGATTACAAAACCACAAAGGCTGTGACATCAACATCAGGGCTACCAGCAGAGAGACAGCGCTATGTGCTAGACACAGTGGTCATAGTGGTTACAAGTCACCCAGAAGCTTTCAACGTCCAACGATAATGAGAAGAGGATTTCATCGACACCGCAGTGTAAAAAAAAAAACGTAAATTCTGTCATAAAACGGCTACTTTTATAGACAGAAAAAACGTATTTCTTCCTATTTCTTATACAAGGACAGACGAAAGATACAGACTGGAAAAAAAAACATAAAAGCTTTATAGACTTTTGCATACTTTGGTGGGAAATACAGTTAGCACTATGTACAGCAATAATTCAAAATCTATCAGTGTGTGTTTGTTTGGGGTGATTTTAAAAGAAAAACACTAGTTTGGTCACAACGTAAAGATGAAGGTGGATTTGGTCTATTATTCTAACCTATCAGTGCAATATATAGAAGATATATCAATCATAACTAGTTGTTTTGAGCAAGTGTCGCTTATTCCTTGAAATGCATGCGGTTTAATGTCTTAAAAAGTTGTCTTTCAAGTTAGCTGTCAGGGTATTGTAGCACCATAATGAAATGAACAGATATAAAAGGCGTATAAAACAGGAAAAATGTGAATTTAAAACGACTGCAGAGGCATTTTATTGCATGATTTTGAACGGCAACGGCAAATTGCGAACTTTAACTCAAGTGCCACTTACTAGCTTCACTAGCAGGTGGACTAAGGAAGTCTTTAATAAAAGCTCCTTTTTAACTATTATTTCCAGAAAAGAAGGATCTTACAAGCTCGTGATACTTTACACGTTCATATTTCCTAACTTCCAGGTCGCCAAGTTACAGATCATTCCTGATGAAAATCTGACTGTAGAAAGCGCTGAAAGTAACGTCAAAAGGAACATGTTACGGTACGTCCACACGGCAGCGTCGCGTGCGTTAACGGAGACACTTCCAATTTGAATGAGGGTGACGTCACGCTTTGCTTTGCCTCCGTTGCTCGCTTCGAAAGTTGAGAACTTTTCAAGCTCTAGCCAATCAAATCGCGTGCTTGTGTGTCCGAGATTAATGTGATTGGTTGTTGGTCGCACGCCAGTCACGAGCACCGGCAAGCTTCAACGCAACGCTGCCGTGTGGACGTACCGTTATTGTCTGAAAACGCTTACTTTGAAGCTGCGATATTGGAGTTTGGTCGCCACATAAGTTGTTGTGTTGATAGAGAATCAAATCAAATGAGCAAACGTGGAAATTATCGAAAGGATTTGGATACATCTGGTTCTTTTCTGCCTTAAAACGTGTCTGGGTTATTTGATTTCCATACGAATAAAACCCTCTTTTGCGAGAATATTTAAATTGGTTGTTTCTCTTAAGGTAACCTGTGAGATGAATGCATTTAAAGCAGGTGCAGAGGGCGGTAAATACAAAAAAAGCAACGTTTTATGGCGGCTAATTCACTAAAAAGGCGTTTTTGAACAGGAATCAGGTGATTTTACTTCAGTTGGATCAGTTCACAGAAATTAAGACTTTAATTTTAACCAACTTTCAAACAAAACCGACTTAAAACTGATTCATCCGAAGCACATGTGGTGTAATCGGTGCTATCCAAAGTGGGTTGGCACTCTCCGAGGTAGCCGAGAATGATCCTCACCAAAAAAAAGAATAACGAGACAACAGACACAAAATAAACACATACACAATAGCACCATTGTCGGTGATGATCTGGAGAAGAACCACAACATATGCAGCTCTTCTCTTTCCATTTCCTCAACGCTCCTTTTTTTAAACATTTTAATAAGCAATTCATTCCTAAAACTCTGATGTTGTTTTTGGAGAAGCAGGAGAGAGGGGCTTCTTTTCAGTCAGTGTTCTTTTATAGATTTTCTCCTCCTTAAAGGTCACCTATTATACTGTTTTTCATCAATCTAGCACAGGTCTCAGATATATACAAAACATGTCTCTGATTGGCTCCAAACACTAACATTGCAGCATTACCCATAATCCCCTCTGTTTCAGCCCTGTTTCCAAAGTGCTGATTCTCTGTCTGTTACTTTAGATGAAAATAAGGAGCCCCTCCCCACGCCCCTCTGAGAGAGATTTGGTTACAAAGAACTCAATGGAGCTCTAGGAGGAGATTCAGGTGATAAGGTGGGGGGGAGGGGTTACCTTGGTTGGTGATTGGTTAATGGTTTTGATGTAGAAGAGACATGAAGAAGAGGGGACACATGTTGATGTAGACGAGACATGAAGAAGAGGGGACACATGTTGATGTAGACGAGACATGAAGAGGGGACACATGTTGATGTTGAAGAGACATGGAGAAGAGGGGACACATGTTGATGTAGAAGAGACATGAAGAAGAGGGGACACATGTTGATGTAGAAGAGACATGAAGAAGAGGGGACACATGTTGATGAAGAAGAGACATGGAGAAGAGGGGACACATGTTGATGTAGAAGAGACATGGAGAAGAGGGGACACATGTTGATGTAGAAGAGACATGAAGAAGAGGGGACACATGTTGATGTAGAAGAGACATGAAGAAGAGGGGACACATGTTGATGAAGAAGAGACATGGAGAAGTGGATTTTGCATAATAGGTGACCTTTAACACCTCTTGTTCTCCTCCAAGGTGCTGATACTACAACAGCTTGCTGCAGACTTGGCAGCGGCTGACTCTGGATCTCTCCTGGCCGCCCTTCAGGGTCTCCTGTCCGGGGGAGTAGAGGAACTCCGTGCCCGGCTGCACGGTGGTGAGCCAGAAGCTGTATTCGTTGGCGAAGAAGTGGCAGGATCCCTTGGCTCCGTTGCACTCGATGAACGGCGTGGCGCGGAAATCCTCCAGACAAGAACCGGGGGAATTCAGAGACTGACCGCCACCTTCAGATCCCGCCGCTGTGTGCTGCACGGAGAGAGGGACATTTAGTATTTATTAGATTCAAGGCTTTTATTGTCATTTGTACATTAGCTACAGTGTGGTTATGTCAATGAATTCTGTCTGCATTCTGTACAGATAGCTAAGACCCTTGAGGCCCTCAAACTAGGATTTAAATATGTGTTCTTAGTTTGAATACATGTGGAAGTTAAAGCCGAAGAGAACCGTCTTTTCCGAGTGAAATGGCTCTATTTTCTACAACATTTTAACAATTATCAGCTTGCTAAACATGTCTCATTTGCCCCTCCTACAGTGCAACACAATAACACAGATACAATAGTGAAAGTAAATACGAATAAAATAGAATAGAAATAGTGCAAGAAGAGTACAAGTCATTGGAATATGATATATTAGATACATAATGTGTAAGTTGCAAACAGATGAATGTTATGGATGTTCTATCAAAAGTTCAGGTGTTTAGATGAGATATTCTTTATTGATTGCAAATTGGGAAATCGTTTAGTCAGAGCAGCATGTTAAGAAGGCATTAACCTAACCATTTTAGGAGAGCAAATGGGACATGTTTTGCAAGCTGATAATGCTTTAAATATTGTAGAAAATAGAGCCATCTCACTCGGAAAAGACAGTTGTCTTCGGCTTTAACTTCTTCATTTATTGAAAGTAAGAAAAAACCTAGTTTGAGGGCCTCAAGGGTCTTAGCTATCTGTACAGAAAACGACACCATCTGGTATTTTCTACCCTAGCTTCGGATAAAGAAAATACGTTAACCCTATTGAAATGGACATTAGTATTACCTGGAGACATCTATCAGTAGTTTGGTGTAATTGTGGAGGCTTAATGTGAGTCATTTAAAGTTGACCATGAGGAAGGGACATGTTTAACAAGCTGATAAATGTTAACAAGCTGATAAATGTTTAACAAGCTGATAAATGTTAAAATGTTGTAGAAAATAGGTATTTTGGACAACATTTTATATGAACCATGTTCCTCAATGGGTGTATGTATACAATGACAGTAAAGTCAATCCATTACGCCAAAATTACACAAAAAATGTGAACATATATGAAGAAAACGCTTTCCTATTTACCTTATCTCACTAAAACACGTCTAAATGTGATTTTTAGGGTGTATTGTGAGTTATTGATAGTGTTTGTTTTACCATGAGGAAGGAGTATCCGATCCAGAGACTCCTCCAGCCGGGGGGGGCAGGTGGGGATGCTCAGATCCTGGCTGTGCACGGCTACAGCCAGAGAGGGAGCCTCACATACTGAACACCTGGAAGATAAGGACAGGAGAGAGGCAATTATTGTTTTAGTTAGTCACCCAGTAGCTTTCATCTACACCGCAGCGTAACAAAAACATAATTTCTGTCATAAAAACGGCAAAGAAATCTACTTTTATAGACAGAACATACGTAGGGACTTTTGCTCCAGCATACGTTGGTGGGAAATACAGTTAGGATTAGTTTCAGGGTGTTTAGTTTGTGAATGTATGAATCCTGCAGTTCTGAACGAGGGCCAGTACCTGCTGATGTATTGCTGGATCTGTTGCTCGGCAACGGGCATCATGGGAATGGGAGCACTGGTGGAGAGCCAATAGGATTTGTCGTTTCGAGAGGCGTAGTAACACACCTCGTTGGGGAGCAGTAGAGGAAGGGGATGGTGCTGAAGCGGGGGAGACAAGACCCCGGCTGACCTGCAGAGAGAGAGAGAGAGAGAGAGAGGGGAGAGAGGGGAGAGAGGGGAGAGAGGGGAGAGAGGGGAGAGAGGGGAGAGAGGGGAGACAATTAGCACAGTAGCTACAGTGTAGTCAATGAAAAACTGAAGTCACAGGCTCCTCCAACAGTGCAGAGGTGGGAAGTAGTGGAGTACAAATACTTCGTTACTGTACTTAAGTACATGTTTCTGGTATCAGTACTTTACTCCACTACTTATTTGACTTTTTACTTTTACTTCTTACATGTTGAACCCAAATACCTGTACTTTCTACTTCTCACATGTTGAACCCAAATACCTGAACTTTCTACTTCTTACATGTTGAACACAAATACCTGTACTTTCTACTTCTTACATGTTGAACACAAATACCTGTACTTTCTACTTCTTACATGTTAAACCCAAATACCTGTACTTTCTACTTCTTACATGTTGAACCCAAATACCTGTACTTTCTACTTCTTACATGTTAAACCCAAATACCTGTACTTTCTACTTCTTACATGTTGAACCCAAATACCTGTACTTTCTACTTCTTACATGTTGAACCCAAATACCTGTACTTTCTACTTCTTACATGTTAAACCCAAATACCTGTACTTTCTACTTCTTACATGTTAAACCCAAATACCTGTACTTTCTACTTCTTACATGTTAAACCCAAATACCTGAACTTTCTACTTCTTACATGTTGAACCCAAATACCTGTACTTTCTACTTCTTACATGTTGAACACAAATACCTGTACTTTCTACTTCTTACATGTTGAACTCAAATACCTGTACTTTCTACTTCTTACATGTTGAACTCAAATACCTGTACTTTCTACTTTCTTACATGTTGAACCCAAATACCTGTACTTTCTACTTCTTACATGTTGAACACAATGCCTGAACTTTCTACTTCTTACATTTTGAACCCAAATACCTGTACTTTCTACTTCTTACATGTTGAACCCAAAATACCTGTACTTTCTACTTCTTACATGTTGAACACAAATACCGTACTTTCTACTTCTTACATGTTGAACCCAATACCTGTACTTTCTACTTCTTACATGTTGAACACAAATACCTGTACTTTCTACTTCTTACATGTTGAACCCAAATACCTGTACTTTCTACTTCTTACATGTTGAACACAAATACCTGTACTTTCTACTTCTTACATGTTGAACACAAATACCTGTACTTTCTACTTCTTACATGTTGAACCAAATACCTGTACTTTCTACTTCTTACATGTTGAACACAAATACCTGTACTTTCTACTTCTTACATGTGAAACCCAAATACCTGTACTTTCTACTTCTTACATGTTGAAACACAAAGACCTGTACTTTCTACTTCTTACATGTTGAACACAAATACCTGTACTTTCTACTTCTTACATGTTGAACTCAAATACCTGTACTTTTCTACTTCTTACATGTTGAACACAAATACCTGTACTTTCTACTCTTACATGTTGAACCCAAATACCTGTACTTTCTACTTCTTACATGTTGAACACAAATACCTGTACTTTCTACTTCTTACATGTTGAACCCAAATACCTGTACTTTCTACTTTCTTACATGTTGAACACAAAATACCTGACTTTCTACTTCTTACATGTGTGAACACAAATACCTGTACTTTCTACTTCTTACATGTTGAACACAAATACCTGTACTTTCTACTTCTTACATGTTGAACTCAAATACCTTGTACTTTCTACTTCTTACATGTTGAACCCAAATACCTGTACTTTCCTACTTCTTACATGTTGAACACAAATACCTGTACTTTCTACTTCTTACATGTTGAAACACAAATACCTGTACTTTCTACTTCTTACATGTTGAACTCAAATACCTGTACTTTCTACTTCTTACATGTTGAACACAAATACCTGTACTTTCTACTTCTTACATGTTGAACCCAAATACCTGTACTTTCTACTTCTTACATGTTGAACACAAATACCTGTACTTTCTACTTCTTACATGTTGAACCCAAATACCTGTACTTTCTACTTCTTACATGTTGAACACAAATACCTGTACTTTCTACTTCTTACATGTTGAACCCAAATACCTGTACTTTCTACTTCTTACATGTTGAACTCAAATACCTGTACTTTCTACTTCTTACATGTTGAACACAAATACCTGTACTTTCTACTTCTTACATGTTGAACTCAAATACCTGTACTTTCTACTTCTTACATGTTGAACTCAATACCTGTACTTTCTACTTCTTACATGTTGAACTCAAATACCTGTACTTTCTACTTCTTACATGTTGAACTCAAATACCTGTACTTTCTACTTCTTACATGTTGAACTCAAATACCTGTACTTTCTACTTCTTACATGTTGAACTCAAATACCTGCACTTTCTACTTCTTACATGTTGAACTCAAATACCTGTACTTTCTACTTCTCTCATTTTCCAAACAGCTGGTTCCTTTAGTCTGAATGTGTGTTTGGTGCGTGATCATTATTCTTTAGAGTCATTGCGTGCCTATTGATTTGAATACGATCCGTGTATCCATCATTTCCTGGTCTTCTCTCAACCTCTAAAAGAAGTTTAGTCAGCACTTCTACTTTTACCAGAGTATCTTTAAACACGAGTATCTGTACTTCTACTTGAGTAAAGGATGTGTGTACTTTTGCACTACTTTTTACTTTGGATTTTTGTATTTTATTACATATGTTGCATTGTTGGAGGAGCTCAGGTCAGAAGAATGTCATTGCCCTTTCTACACTGTAGCTTTGTGTAAAAAACATTTTAAGTTCAGTAAGATTTTAACATCCAACACTCACAGTGTCACGTTTTAGATGTAAGGATAAAAAAAATTATGTTTTGAGCTGAAACTAAAACACTATTCTCGTCTTGTCTTTAGTACGCTCATGAATCCTATTACTTTTGGTAATTTAGGTCAAAGCTTCCATCGTGGAAAGTGCAGACAGGATATATCAGCTCACAAATCAAAGGTAGATGAAGGTAACAGTCCTTCAAACCTCTGTAACATCACGTTAGCGACTGAATATGAAACGTTTCTCCGTACCGAGGTCCTGGTTGTGAGCCTTCTCCTGCCCCTCCACGAACAGCAGGCTGTACCCGTCCCACAGCGTGGCCATGCCCTGAGGACACATGGGCACTTGGGCGTTCTGGCTGTGCTTCACCAGGGTGTATCCGATGCTTGAGCCACGACCCACAGCCCCGGGGGGTCCGGAGCGACCCGTGGACCCAGTGGCGCCTGGAGGACGAGACAACAAGAAGAAATAAGAGGTTTGTTTCGATGCTACCTGTTGGGAAGCACTGAATGTACTCATCCAATATCAGAGTCCACATGATAACAAAGGTATCCCAACTGTAGCTGTGAACATGACAGGATGTGTGATTACCTAGAAGAGCATCAGGACTGTTTGAGGCATATGATAGCTATGTGATTAACATGATGATTCAGCCTCTATGGAGATAGACATATGACAAGCATGCTCATTTCTGACGTGGAGCTAATCTGAAGTAAACATTGAAGACTGCTTTCTATTCCTCCATCTTGTGACTGTGTGACTCCCTCTCTTGATATCAGCATGTGAAGGACACTGTTCAGGAACTAGTTGATGCTCTGTATGTGATGACTACTTCCATTCTTGAGAGGATCATAAATACATGGATCCTGAGGTTGAAGCTCAAGCCGGGGACGAGTGGTTAACATTTTGAAGTATTCAGAAAAAGACAGAATTTTGAAATTTGGAGAAAGTCAGAATTTTGAGAGAAAGTCAGAAATTTTAGAGAAAGTCAGAATTTTTAGAGAAAGTCAACATTTTGAGAAAAAAATTCAGTATTTTGTTCATGACAGGATGTATGATTACCTACGAGAACCGGTATTCCTCCATCTTGTGACTGTGTAACTCCCTCTCTTGTATATCAGCATGTGAAGGACACTGTTCAGGAACTAGTTGATGCTCTGTATGTGATGACTACTTCCATTCTGGAGAGGATCATAAATACATGGATCCTGAGATTGAAGCTCAAGCCGGTGACCAGGGATATTTTTCTAACACTAACTTAGAAAGAGTCCAGGTATTTGTATGGGGGAGATTTCTGGTATAAGTACGTTTATCATAGCATGTAAATGTCTGACCTTGTTCTCCAGCGGGTCCGGGGAAACCGGGGGATCCGGCCTCACCGATAGATCCGGGGTAACCAGGAGGTCCAGTCTGGCCCAGTTTACCTCCAGGACCGGGACGACCCTTAGACCCTAAAGCAGGACACACGTTCACTCAGCCGTCAACAAAAAGTCCAGAGAGCAGTTTTTTTATTCGTATTAGCTTAGCTTAGCATGAAGACGAGAAACACGTGGAAACAGATAAACTACATCTTTACCAAAAGCAACAAAATCCACCAACAAGCATCTTAATCTTTGTATGTTAATCACACCGTATAAAAACACTGATGGTTTACTGGTGAGAAGTTTTGCTATGCCAGTAAAGTGTATTTTCTTAGCTTAGCATGAAGACGAGAAACAGATCACCTACATCCTAACCAAAAGCAAAAAAAAACACCAACAAGCATCTCAAAAGTTAAATATTCAACATGTTATAATACATTTATTGTATTATTGAAGTTTTTGCAGGACTTTTTAAATCTTTGGACAGAGCTTGGCTAGCCTTTTAACCCAGTTTTCATTCTTTACGCTAAGCTAAGCTAAGCTAAGCTAAGTATTCCCGCCATAAACTCACACACAGACTTCACAGTGAAATCCAACTTCTCATTTAACTTTCACTAAATACTAAACTACTCCTTTGAACAACCAAATAATGAGAACGAAACCTGATGTTTTCTTGTCATTTAGATATCATTTTTGGCGTTTTTCTTAAAAATATATATATCGTTTTTTTGTCTTTAATGGTAACAAAAATCTGTTATATATATTTTTTTATTTCTCTTTGTCTGTATTATTATTATTATTATTATTATTATTTTTGGCTTACATATGTATTCTGCATTTTGTATGTTTTGTAAGTAATTGCTGTTGTCTTTTTTTACTTTTTCTCAAGTACTTTTAGTTATTTTATTTAAAAAAATAAATTGTACATGTTGTGTATTAATCTCAATAAAAATGTGATCACCAAAAAGAAAAAATTGTAACAAAAACAAAGATCTGGACTGTGTGATTCCTCACCTGAACGTCCGGGGAGTCCCTGCTGTCCGGGTTCTCCAGGAGTCCCGCTTCCTCCACCTCCTCCGGGGTAACCAATTTCTCCGTAGGGTTGCTCGAAGTCTTGCGGTATCCTGGGAATCGTGGCTCCGGGGGCTCCCTGACGACCGGGACGTCCTGGAGAGGAAGGGATGGAGAGAGACGAGGAAATAAGATAAGATAAGATGGAGCTTTTTTAATTAACACAAAAACGTACAAAAAAATACTTAGTTCCCACTTGACAGTTAACGGAAAGAACAAAACAAAAAACCAACAACACGAAAACGTAGAGGGAAAGCGGCTTAACTTATCTTATCCTAACTTTTATTAACTCATCTTAACTTCTTATTTAAGTCCTCTTACCTCGCACTCCCTTGGCTCCTTTGTTTCCGTAATATCCAGAATCACCGGGATAGCCCTTCAGACCAGGACCTCCGCTGTATCCGCTCTCTCCTATTCCTCCTAAAAAACACCCCAAAACATTTGTCATTAACACTTTCTTTTGGGGTTTATTTCATATTGTTTACAGGCCAATCGGAGCTTCACTGACCTTTGAACCCGGGGCTTCCGGGGAGTCCGGGGCCTCCGAGAAAACCAGGTTCTCCCTTTCTCCCGGGGGATCCTGGGAAACCTGGGAGTCCAGGGTCTCCTCGGTCTCCCTGAGCTGTGCCGGGACCAGGAGGACCGGGAGGACCTGGAGGACCCTGGATACCTGAGGAGAGGAGGAGAGAAGGAGAGGAGTCAGGACGAGAGGATACAGTGAAAGAAAATAGGAAACGAAACAGGTTGAGAAAAAAAGGGAAAGGCTAGGAGAAGAAAGGAAATTGGGTTTGAGGAAAGGAAGTCAATCAAAAGAAAGTAAAGGAAACTAAAGAAAATTAGGGTAAGAAGTAAATCAAAATAAAGGAAGGAAGTTTCGGAAAAGAAAGGAAAGGAGAGGGTAGGAAAGGAAAGGAGAGGGAAGGAATTAAAGGAAAGAAAAGGACAGGATAGGATGGGACAGTAGAGGGGAAGATGGGGAATTGGTTTTAGAAAAGGAAGTAAATCAAAAGAAAGGAAAGCAGGTTGAGAAAAAGAAAGGACAGGAGAGAGAAGGACATTAAATTGGGTTAAGAGAAAGGAGGGAAATACAACAAAAGGAAAGGACATTGGGTTAAAAGAAATGGAGGGAAATGTAGGGAAAGGGAAGGAAAGGTAAGGAAAGAGGCTTAAGAAGGAGAAGAAAGAAAATGAAAGGTAAGGAAAGGAAAGAAGAGGACAATATAGGACATTAAAAAGGACAGAAAGTAAACATATTTACCATATTCTCCATCCAGTCCAGGGAGTCCTGGGTCTCCAAGAGGTCCAAGAACGTCTGATCCCACCGTGGGACCGGGGGGTCCGGGAAGACCGGGGAACCCTGAGCGTCCGGGACCACCTGACACACACAAATAAAAACAAACCATTTTGATATTTTTATATTAGCTAATTCATACTCTATCTGTATTCTTTAAAGGTCCCCTATTATACTGTTTTTCATCAATATATAACAGGTCTCAGATATATACAGAACCTGTCTCTGAAGTGTTTGTCTGAAACACCAAACACATCATTGCAGCATTACCCATAATCCCCTCTGTTTCAGCCCTGTTTCCAAAGTGCTGATTCTCTGTCTGTTACTTTAGATGAAAATAAGGAGCCCCTCCCCACGCCCCTCTGAGAGAGATTTGGTTAACAAGAACACAATAGGCGCTTTCACACCAAGTACTTTGCCGTACTTAGTTCCCAGCACTTAGTTCCCCCATGGAACTAAGTGCTGGGAACTAAGTACAGGTCGCGTTCACACCGGAATAAGTCCCTGGGGGAGGATGAGGCAAATGAAGCCACTGACGTCACTTCTTCTTTGGGTTTACTGGCAGGCCGCAAACCACTTCACGGCGTATACTGCCACCCGAAGTCCCCGGCCGGAAGTCTGGGACTCCCAGCAGCTTCTACTGAAGCCTTCAGAGTAAATCGCCAGAACGCCGACACCTCCTCATCTCCACCGCTCCCATGTTTTATGTTGTGTTGCCATAAGTTAGTCTCTCTCCGTTGGTGCGCGGGGCTAATGCTAATGCTAATCATGCTAATGCCAGCAAACACAATGGCGGCTTCACAAAACTTTTCCGAGTTTTACGGGGCGTGGTTTGCAATTCGCCCAGCCAATCAGAAATTGGAACTTTCTGAGGGTAGCACCTCTCTAGCAGGGACTGAAAAGGGGAAAAAAGTTCTCATGAACTAAGTTCTCTTTTTGGTGTGAACGCAAAATCCCAGGAACTATCGGAACTAAAAGGGAAAAGTACTCAGGTGTGAAAGCGCCTAATGGTGCTCTAGGAGGAGATTCAGGTGATAAGGTGGGGGGGGGGGGGGGGGGGGGGGGGGGGGTTACCTTGGTTGGTGATTGGCTAATGGTTACACGAGCCAAAAAATCGTTATGACATCATAAAGTGTCCAAAATCTGATCATTTTTATAGAAATGGATCAGGACAAAAAGGAGAGAATCTTTTTTCCTGAAACTTTCAGAGTCTCTTCACACAGAGGGGACACATGTTGATGTAGAAGAGACATGAAGAAGAGGGGACACATGTTGATGTAGAAGAGACATGAAGAAGAGGGGACACATGTTGATGTAGAAGAGACATGAAGTAGAGGATTTTGCATAATAGGTGACCTTTAATTCCCGTGAAGCTCACCTTGGTCTCCTCTCTGTCCCTTGCCTCCGGGGTATCCTGGTCCCCCAGGGTAGGAGGATCCTCTCTCTCCCTTCAGACCGGGAATACCGGAAGCTCCTGGACGACCTCCAGCGTTTCCACCTGGTGTTCCTGGGAGGCCTTTAGGTCCAGCGAGGCCATTAAGACCATCCAAACCAGGGGATCCAGGTAAACCTGCACAAACACAACAGAGAGGGTTTGTTCATACTGGGGTAATACGTTTCAGGTTTAAAGTTTCAAGGCTTTTATTGTCATTTGCACATTAGCTACAGTGTAGATATGGCAATGAAAAACGTAGGTCTCAGGCTCCTCTAACAGTGCGACATATATATAGGACATACAACAAATAAAACAGATAAACTAGTGCAAGAAATGTACTGTCCAGTTCCAGTTTTTATCCACTTATATGCCAACACTCAATGGATTGAAACTGATTATTTGGTGACATTAAAACATGAGAATATTGGAAATGATCTGTGCTTTTTTTAAGCCAGTAAATGTTTGACTTATGGTCTTTACAATGCTCTGGAGTAATTGGAAATGTTTGAATGAAACAAGTGAGAAACAATCCTATGAAGCAACCACTGGAATCTAATCCTACAAATGCCAAAATACAGAGTTAAAACCGAATTAAGGTGAAATAAACCAGCCACAAAAACCTGAAAAATTAACATTTAAATGTCAACGTTATCACTGAAGCTTCAAACTCCTCAGGAAACACACTAAATAAACTTTATTCACTTAGCTACGTCCTTCATAAACAAAAAAAGAACATTCATACGATTTTACATATAACTTTTAGTATATAGAAAAACATTTGCTTGTTAATCACACTGTATACAAATGCTGATAATTTACTGCTTTGCTATGCCGGTGTATTTCTTAGCTTAGTTTAGCATCAAGATGAGAAACAGGGGGAAACAGATAACCTATGCTTACCAAAAGCAACAAAATCAACCAACAAGCATCTCAAAAGCTAAATATTTAACATTTTATAACACATTTCTTATATTATTGAAGCTTTTCCAGAACTTTTTTAATCTTTGCACGGAGCTTGGCTAGCCTTTTAACCCAGTGTTCAGCCCTTAAGCTAAACTAAGCTAAACTAAGCTAAGCTAATCTAAGCTAATCTAAGCTAAGCTAAGCTAAGCTAAGCTAAGCTAAGCTAAGCTAAGCTAAGCTAAGCTAAGCGTTCCTGCCCTAGCCTCACACACGCACATTTGAATGTTAGCGTTATCACTGAAGCTTCAAACTCTTGAGTACAGTCTTGAAAGAAAGTGTAATAATCGTCTCACCTTTGGCTCCGGGACCTCCAGGCCCAGCAGGAGGTCCAGGAGTCCCGTCTGCTCCTGGTCTTCCTGGATATCCAGACTGACCTTTTGGCCCGGGGAAACCAGGGGAGCCTGCAGAGGGAAGGAGGTGAACATGTTACAATCTAGCTTCCTCTGAATGTGAGTTTTACTCGTTTCTTAAAAATGTGCGATGTAGACAGTAGAGGGAAGGATGGGAAATTGGTTTTAGGAAAGGAAGCGAATCAAAAGAAAGGAAAGCAGGTTGCGAAAAAGAAAGGACAGGAGAGGAGAGGGGTCGGACAGGACGAGAGGATAGTGAAAGGCAATAGGAAACGAAACAGGAAAGGGGATCAGGTTGAGAAAAAGAAGGGATAGGAGAGGAAAGGAAATTGGGTTTGAGGAAAGGAAGAACAGGATAGGATAGGAAGTAAATCAAAGGAAAGTAAAGGAAACAAAAGAAAATTAGGGTAAGAAGTTAACCAAAATAAAGGAAATACGTTTCGGAAAAGAAAGGAAAGGAAAGGAGAGGGAAGGAAATGAAAGGTAAGGAAAGGAAAGAGACTTCAGAAGGAAAGGAAATACAATTAAAGGTAAGGAAAGGAAAGGAAAGGAAAGAAGACGACAAGATAGGACATTAAAAAGGACAGAAAGTAATTATTTTATTAAGAATGTGATTTTTACTCGTCTCTTAAAAATCAGTTTGTCATTGCAGCGTTTTTATCTCTTACCCATTATTCCAGAACGGCCTCCATCACCTGGACCTCCCTTTGATCCGGGGTAGCCTGGACCTCCTGGGAAACCGTTGTCCCCGGGAGCGCCGTCATTCGCACGCCCGCCTGAAGAGAGACATCAATACGGTGTGAAATACATCTTTTTGGGAATGAATGAGATGTCTTAAAACGAGTGAAACACTGTATATATGATAATGTACATTTCTTGCTTATAAAACCTGGGAAAACAAAATGTATTCTGGTAGAAAAGGTATATATTAAAAGAAGCAATTATGGTTTAAATATAAGCAAAAAAAAGGGAATAAAAACAGTACAAGTCCGCACACAGTTAGGGAGTTAGCGACTTTTCTTTTTACTACTATGCGGAAATGTGAATACACAAAGATTCAAGTACTGTATTATATGTTTTAACAATCTTTTGGTAGGTTAAAAGCAGGGCATAGGAGCTATTGTTGGTATAAGAGTCTTAAAATCAAACATGGTGGGTGTTACCTGGGTAGCCTGAATCTCCGGGTTGTCCTTTAGCTCCCGATCTTCCGGGATAACCATAGCTCTCTCCGGGAGAACCTGAGGAACAAAATACGTGAGTCAAAGTCTGCATTTACACTTTCATAAACACATATGATTGGTGTTTTTTCACCTTTGCCTCCTGGTCGGCCATTTTCTCCAGGATTTCCATTGAAACCAGGTGTGCCGTCATCACCCTGAAAGCATCCAATCAGTGAGTCTCATTGGTAATAATAATAATACGTTTATTTAGTATAGCAGCTTTTACAGAAATACAATTCACAAAGTGCTTCACAAGAAAGAACACAAGTTCAAATGACATGAGGCAGAAATGTAAGGATAACGTAAAAACAAAACACACACCACGTGGAGTCCCGAAATATATTTTTTAAGCAAAAACGAAATATATATATGTTAGTAATTTAGTTTTAGGGAGAAGGGGTGGGATTACATTTGTGTAACCTGCTTCCCACCCCTTTTCGGATGTGTAATTATTAGGTAGTTCATTTGTTTATATATAATTTGTAAGTCAGTAATATTTTAGTATATCAATTTGCCACTGCTTAAGTTTGTTTAGTATAATAATTCTCTGTTTCAAATATTTTTTTAAGCAATAGTACAGACTTCTTTGGGGTGGAAATCATAAGCATGACAGGAATACCATACTTAATGACATACATAGTCATAGTGGGAAAGAACATACAAAATAGTACAGCGGTTCCCAACCTGTGGGCCGCGGCCCCCTAGTGGTCCGCGAAGGCATTGCAAGTGGGTCACCAAATCATTTGCAAAACATTATGATTTGTGTGGAAACATTTCATTATTAAGATTTAATTTCTCTTTCTTAATCCTCCTTAGCAACGGTTATTACAGTCCTTGACAGCGGTCTGTTCTACTGGATTTACAACGTGTCACATGTTCTGAATTGACCAATCAGAACTTTATTTAGCCTCCATATTGTTTATGGTTGAATGTGGGTCGCAACATTTTTGGGCCCTGAGTTGAAAAAGGTTGGGAACCGCTGAAATAGTATATATAATAAAAATAAATAAACAAACTTAAAGGGTAGTATCATAATTCTCATGTTTCATTTCATTATTATTTGTTTTTATGATTGTTTTACACATTCGAAATAAATCAAATCAAACACATCTCAAGTAGAAAGAAAAGTCAAAGTAAAAAGATGTGTTGTTTTCTTACCCTCGGTCCAGCCATGCCGGGGAATCCCATAATACCAGATTCTCCCTTTGGTCCGGGGTATCCTGGTGTACCTGGTTGCCCGGGGTAACCAGGTACTCCAGGCTGTCCTTTGCTCTGTTCGGCGTAACCAGGAAGTCCGGAAAGACCCTGACGACCAGGTTGACCCGGGAAACCCTTGTCACCTGAGAGCAGAGGCAGATATAATCAGATCATCAGAATAATACAAATAAAAAAACATAATATTAAGAATAATAATAATGAAATACAAACAATTACAAATAATATTAAAGATAATAACAATAATACAAAAAAAAGTAATACGAATATAAAAACACTTAAAAGAATAATACAATAATAACACTATACATACCCGGGTTAAAAAAACACTTAAAATATAAATCACACAATATGAATTGATACTTTAGAAGCAGCTTTGAGAAGACGTTCACGTTGTCTGTGTCTCAGATGTCAACAATAACAGATAAACAGGAAGTAGATCTACCTCTGGGTCCGGGGAACCCAGGAAGGCTGCTGCCTCCGTTGTTTCCTGGTTCTCCTTTTTCTACAAACTCTGATCTGAACGGAGGGGAGGGCAGACCGGGGGAGCCGGGGTATCCTCTGTCACCTGAAGGAGGGGAAACACACATTATGAGAGTCCTTCAGTTCGTTAAAATGCAACTTTAACCACATTTTTTGGTCGTAATCATCAGTATTTCTTTTTCATGTTAAGTAGATTAAAGACTCATTTTCTCTGCTATACAAGGTCGTTGATTTCCCTCTGCTTTTGGCCTTTTGTGACACACTACTAAGTAACCTGCACTCTCATCTGCACACTTATGTAAATATATTTAACATGTTCATACGAATGCACAACTTTTCACTGTGAGATAAATAGAGTTCCATCTTATCTTACTTCATTCTGGATGCTTTACCTTTCGCTCCGGAGTACCCGGGGCCGCCGTTGAGTCCGTTTCTACCCTGTCCTCCAGACTGTCCTTTCCCTCCAGGGAAACCAGAAGATCCAGGACGTCCCGGGAGTCCAGGGAAGCCCATGAGTCCTGGGAAACCTGACTCACCTGTGGAAAACACAGAAAATCAAAATGTCACTGAATCCTTGAAATATTGTGAACAAACCATCAGCTGTGCGTTGAGATCAAACTTGATTCAGAATCACTGATAAGACTCTATGATATCTTCCTAATCTAACTTTACAGCAACAGGAAGACATAGAAACACCATTCAATACATTACAATAGGAAAACATGCAATCAAATAAACCTTGCTGATTTACACTATCATATTCTATTGACATGTATATTTTTTTATCTTTGTATTTTATTATATATGTTGCATTGTTGGAGGAGATCAGGTCAGAAGAATTTCATTGCCATTTCTACACTGTAGCTTTATGACAATAAAACCTTTGAATCTTGATTCTCCCTAGTGTTGCGTTAGGTCCCCAAATCACAGCCCTAATGCAAAGACATGTGAGTACCAGAGATGGTACACACATCCTTTACTCAAGTAGAAGTACAGATACTCGTGTTTAAAAGTACTCTGGTAAAAGTAGAAGTACTGACTAAACTTCTTTACTCAAGTCAAAGTAAAGACTTTGAAATGTACTTCAGTAAAAAGTACCCATAGCTAGCAGCTGTTTTAAAGAGTACCTGACCTCCCTTTATATGAATAGAACAATAATGTCATTGTTAGCTAATGAATGTTTCCATGCTGAACAACGGCAACATGACAACGTTTCCATTGGTCCCTCTTCTTTAGAGAAGACCAGGAAATGATGGATACACGGATCGTGTTCAAATCAACATGTAAGAAGTAGAAAGTACAGGTATAGAAAAATGTACTTAAGTACAGTAATGCAATATTTGTACTCCACTACTTCCCACCAGTAAGTACTTTGATGATAAACAGCATCTCCAGCCTACCCTTTCTTCCCGGTGTTCCTGGGATCCCGTCTCTAGTTCCCGGTCCGGGGGGTCCGGAGGGTCCTCGGGGCCCCGGAGATCCAGGGGTACCGGGCACGCCGGGGGTCCCCTTCATCCCCGCTGGTCCTGGGAAACCTGGGTCTCCTCTGTCTCCCTTTGTACCGGGGAAACCTGAGGGGGGACGGACGAAGGACGGCGAGACGGGCAAAAGAAAGGCGGAGGAATTTAGTCAGAAGGAGAAGGAAGTATAGGCTAAATCTATACACTAATAGACATAGTAATTTCACTTTTTCATACACTTAAGTGGAGAAAAGGAAGGAGGAATTTAGTCAGAAGGAGAACAGTATACATGGACATATAGGCTAAATCTAAATACTAATAGATTTTTAAGAAAAAACAAAGTATATATGTTAATAATTTAGTTTTTGCGAGAATTAAATACCCAGTCCTTTTCGAATTTGTAATCAGGTAAATCATTTGTTTATATATTATAATTTTTAAGTCAGTAATATTTTTGTTTATCAATTTGACACTGATTAACTTTGTATAGTATAATACATTCATTTCATTATTACTATAATTTCTTTGTATTATTCTTTTACACAATCGAAATAAATAAAATAAAATAAAAAAATAGACAAAATAATTTCATTTTTTCACTTAAGTGAAGAAAAAGCTCTGAAAGAAACACCTAATCTTACCTGTAATGTAACTTACCTCCAACACAATAGCTAAGTTCATTAATAAATATAGCACTTTATGATTTATTTCTATTATTAAAACACAGTTTGGCAAAAAAGTACAATGCAAACAACTACGTCGTGTCATTGCTTTGGTTAGGCTGCAATTGCACTTGTTATTAAATAATTTCAGCTCATTATAAAAAGGGATTTAAATAGTTTACACATTCTAGATCAAATCTGCAATATTTTATCCAAAGAAATAAAAATCTCAAGTGCAATTCCAGGCTGAATTAGCGTTTTCTCAACCGCCAAGTTGTGCTAGCAGACTATCACTACTGTTGACTTCCTTAAAAAGAGGACAGTTTTCAACACACCCATCTAAAGTACATTCAAACCATGACATGTTTATAACCTCGCACTAATTGAGCACGATGAATGGATGCGTTGAAATTAAAAGTCCTTTTTTAAGAGGTTTCTAAGGTGCTTGTTAAAAAGCCAGTTGTCACACACACTAATGCAATAATCACATCTTAGTATAGATTACACTTCAGGAGGAACTAGGAGGGTTAGAAGTCACATTTCATAATAAACGTTATGTTTCTGGATCTGTAGCAGCGGAAATGTCCATCTTAATGTTCTGATCTTTAATTGAGTTGTAAAATATATTTTTCAACTGTCCTACAATCAGTTGTCCTTTCAGCATGTACAATAGATTCACAAATTGGATGAAAACATGATCCACATACTAAGTTGTTTTTAAATGTATCTTGTTTACGTGCAGAGAAGGAACCAACACTTTTCATTATTTCTTATAATTATTTCCAACATTTAGGAGTTATCTACCAAATGAGATTACATTTAAATAGTTAGTTGCTCAAATTAAACCTCTAGATAACTCAGTACCTACAAAATATAGGACCTACTT